CAACCCCCCCATGCGGGGAGGGCGGGGAGCTGTCGGGCTGTCTCCGGACCGCGAGGGGAGAGGGAAGGAGGGAGGGAAGGACGCCTCCTCCTCCTCCTCCTCCTCCTTCTCCTTCTCCTGCTCTTGCTTTTCCTGCTCCTCCTCCTCCTCCTTCTCCTTTTCCTGCTCCTGCTTTTCCTGTTCCTCATCCTTCTCCTCCTCCTCCTCCTCCTCCTTCTCCTTCTCCTCCTCCTCATCCTCCTCCTCCTCCTCCTCCTCCTCCTCCTCCTCCTCCTCCTCCTCCTCCTCCCTCCTCCTCCCTCCTCCTCCTCCTCCTCCTCCTCCTCCTCCTCCTCCTCGAGGGGCCATCGTTGCAGGCGAGCGGCGTCTGACGGCGACGCGCGGGCCCAGATCCCGAGGCAGCGCCCTGCAGCGCATGGCTCTCGTGGCCATCCGCTCCACTGCTGGCCGGGCACAGGGTCACAGATTTCCAGGGAGGGATATGAGGAGGACACGGGAAGAACCACGAGGAGAAGACGAAGAAGAAGAGGAGGAAGAAGAAGAAGAAGAAGAAGGAGGAACAGGAGGAGAAGAAGAAGAAGAAAAAGACGAGGAAGGCGAATAACGAATAAGTAGAACAAGGAGAAGGAGAAGGAAAAGGCGAAGGAGAAGGAGAAGGAGGAGAAGAAGAAGGCAAAGGAGAAGGAGAATAACAGGAGAAGGCCGCTGCGCGGGATGGTCACCGTCGCCGCACCAGGGGGAAGAATGAAGGGAGGGGGGGTAGGGAAGAGGAGCCGAGAGGGGGGTTGCGGGGGAGGGGAGGAGCAGAGGGTGGGGGGGGAGGGTTTGAACCCCCCCCCTCCGTCACGGGAGGGGGAGGGGGGGGGGTTCGAACGCCCCCCCCTCCATCCAGGGTGAGGGGGGGTCCGGACCCAAACCCTACCCCTCTCCATGCGACCACAGAACGCGCTCTTTCTTCGCGTGCGGCACTGCATGCAAACGTTCGCAGCAGGTCATCTAAGGGTGAGCAGGGCGAGCAATGCCAGAGGTCGCTGGCGCTACTCACCGGGGCCTTCGTTTTTCGTCCTGAGTCGTTGTTTGACGCTCCCGAGGCCCGGCGAGGGCCCCTGGGGGCCCAGAACTGTCAGAATCCCGCCGCTCCGGTTTTTTCGGAGCCTCGAATCTCCTGCTGGGGAGTCGGAGGAAGGGGAGAGGGCAGCGGGACCGCAAGGCGCGGGCTCGCCCACAGAGATCCGACGCTCCAAAAAAAGTTGGAGCAGCGGGATTTCGGCAGTTGTCGGCCTCCCGGGGCCCTCGCCGGGCCTCGGGGGCGTCACGAACGACTCGGGACGAAAAACCGGCCCTGGGGAAGTGGTCCAGACCTCTGGGGCCCACGCATCGGAAAAAAATCGGGGCGCCCGGACGTCTGAGTCCGAGCCAGCGCCAGCGAGAGGGTCTCGACGATGCGGCGCGCGGCTGCGCAGGGTGTGCGTGCTCGAGCGGGGGCCCTGACCAGGCGGGTGGCGTTCGGGACCTCACGGGGATGCGCGGTGGAGGAGGAGGAGGAGGAGGAGGAGGAGAAGGAGTTGGAGGAGGAGGAGGAGGAGGAGAAGGAGTTGGAGGAAGAGGAGGAGGAGGAGGAGGAGGGCGGAGTTGGAGGAGGAGGAGGATGAGGCGGTGGAGGAGGAGGGGGAGAAGCTCTGCCTCTTCATTTTGTTGGCACCCGCCGTCGCTGACCCCCTCTTCCACAGGCGGGCGCGGCCGTGGCCTCGTGTCGCTCGTCATGCACGGCTGCCACGGCGTGAGCGACCAGGCCGCCCAGACGTCGGTTCCCGAGTGTTTGTGCGAGGGTCAGGGAGGGGGGAGGTACGTTTCGGGCCATCTCTTGGCTTCGGGGGGTCCTGGGGCCACCTCCGGGCCAGCACTGAGGAGAGGGGCCTCGCAAGTCTTCCGTCGTTGTCGGGCCCCGGAGGCCCTCCTTGGGCCCGGTGGGCGTCAAAGCACAGATTCCAGCCAGGAGAGTCCCCGGGTGCAGAGCCCGTGTCTTCCATGCCAAATGATTTGGATACCTCCAGAGACCAATACCGACCTCTGTAGGCGTCCGGAAGAAGGATCGATTGAGCTCGAGATTGAGATATGCTTCGCCTAACTGTCCTGGTTACTTCAATTCTTTGACTCGTAGATATCCTCGATATGTCTGGCTGAGTATATAGCTGTAGCATTATCGGCTTCACTCTGAGGCAACCACTGCACGATCACGGGACGGCCGCGGGACAAGCACGTGACAACCATGAGGCAGCCGCACAGGACAGCCGCGGGGCAACCACGGGACAAGGGCACAGGGAAGGGAAGCGCAGAGGACCACTGCACAGAACAACCGCAGGACCAACCACGAGAAAACCGCAGGACAGTTTTGGAGCACGCCCCGGGGGGTGGAGGGACAGGCCAGCCAAGCTGAGGGCCTTATCGATTTACCTAATGGGCAACCACTGCACGACCACAGGACAACCGCGGGACAAGCACGTGACAGCCGCGAGGCAGCCGCACAGGACAGCCGCGGGGCGTCCACGGGACAAGGGCACAGGGAAGAGAAGCGCAGAGGACCACTGCGCAGGGCAGCCGCAGGACCAGCCACGAGAAAACCGCAGGACAGTTTTGGGGTACGCCGGGGAGCGGGGGGATGGGCCAGCCAAGCGAGGGGAAGCAGCATGATCAATCTGGCCCTACGGTGTCCAGACAAAAAGTGTCCACACTCATGGCGGTAAGGCGATGCAACATGGTAACAACCACAACTGCGAAATGCCCTCGCTTCGCAACCCTCCCCCCCAAAACCCAAAGTTGAAGTGTCCACATGTTGTCCCTGGTTTTTGGCCTACCGCCCACACCCGTCAACTTCGAATTTAGGGGAAGGGGGGTATACGTCTTGGTCCGACGTGCTTTGGTAACTCAAGGTTTGGGCGAGACACGCGCGGACACTTTTAGTCCACCCACCGTAGCAAGGGCAGGATATCGTTCGACCCTCGCGCGCGCACGAGACGAGCCGAGACCGGCGTTCTTGTTGCGGGGGCTCTTCGCTTCCCTTCGATCTAACCCTCAGCCTCCAGTTTTGTGGAAGTGCTGCCCGAGTTTGAAGCCATCTGGGGTTCGGAGGTGGCCCAGCACTGGTTCTGGCCAGCAGGGAGGGCGGGCAGGTTCGAGTTGCTGCATTCGGGGAGGTCTTTTGCCGTTTTCGGCCTCCGGGGTCCTGGGACCGTTAAGCAGGGATCCCGAGTGAAAAACTGCACCAGATGGACCCCAGGAGGACCGATTTTGAGCTGACTTTGAGCGGATCTGGCCACACACACACACACCGACCGATCTCAGGGGTTCCAAACCAGTTCAGATCCAGTGGCCGCCTCGAAACCCCAATGTCTATCAATCATAGTGGCGTGTGAAGTCGTGGAACATTGATCCGTCAGAGCCCGTAAAGCAATGCTCGAAGACATGACCACTTGATCTGCCGCATGCGCAATATACGCGTGCTTCGTTTTCAGAAAATTCATCGCACGGCGGTCGACATGTTTAAAGAGACTCCGGTGGCACAGTCTGCCCCACGCGCAGTCAGAACGATCCAGTCGTTTCCTGTCTAGAGCCGCGTTTGTTCAAGTTTTGTTCACCTCATGCAGCAGCAGCAGCCTACTGCAGCGTGCGGCGGCCGCCTTCCGTGCGGCGCGTTTGCCAGGGCGGCGCTGTGGGCGGTGTGGGTCGCACTGCCGAGTCGCGTCGCTGGCGGAGCCGAGGATGCGTTCGCGACGCTGAGGGACCTGAAGCAGCAGTTCGAGGGCGCTGTGCCTCTCGACGGCGGGGAAGTCGACAAGGATGCTCTGGCCGCTGTGTTCAGAGGGTCCAAGGCACTCGCCAAGCAGTTAGACTATCCAGCTGCCTGCGACAAGCCCCGCCACCGTGCCTGCGCAGCAACGCAGCAAGAAGGAGGCTGAGTTGGAGACACTCTCCAACACAGCACCTTGTTTGACATGGCGCGGGTCATGGACACCCCGATTCTTGTCTGCGGCCTCGTTCTCCTCTTGCTTCCTCGTGTATGTTCCCTCTTGATGGCATGTTGGACGCTTCTTGGGGGGCTCATTTGGGCATTTTGACGGGCCCTCTCGGGGTTCTTTTGGGGGTCCCGTTGGGAGCCTGTCAGGGGTCTCGGGGCAGTCGTGGGCGCGATGCCCCGAACTGGCTCGATTGAACCATCTTGGTGACGTCTGGGCAGGTCTTGAAGCCGTCTTGGATACCTCCCGAGCCGTTTTGGGGGTTCTCGAGCAGTCTTGGGGTCTGTGTAACAGGAGCTATTGAGGCTTCCTTGGGAGCGTATTCGGAGTTTCTGAAGCTTACCCGAGGCGATCGGAAACCGTCAAGTTCCGGGAGCAAAACGAAACCTTGATGTTCTTTATGAGTTTCACTTTGTTCCGTCTTTGAGACCCTCGCCGGAGCCCTCTGTATACCTATGTTGGGGACGTTTCTGGGAGTCTTGGAGCATCTTGGAGAGAGCTTAGAGTCAGGGAAACCCGTTGGGCTGTACTTGGGTGGTCTTCAGGAGTCTTGTATCCTTGTGGGGGCGCTTGTTGGCTGCCTTCGAGCTGTCTGGAAGCCGAAAAGAGCGCTCTTGGGACTGTTTCGGGGCCGTCGTGGACCGTTTGGAGGGCTCCTCTGGGCCCCCTTAGGCTTCCCAACGCGATCTGAAGCCGAGCAGCTTCGGAAGCAGCCAGAACTGCTTTGCGTCTGGTTGTTCAATGCGTTTCGCCTCCGAGGGCCTTGCTGGAAGTCTCTTCGGAGGAGGAGGAGGAGGGGGAGGAGGAGGAGGAGGGGAGGAGAGGAGGAGAGGGAGGAGGAGGAGGAGGAGGAGAAGGAGGAGGGGAGGAGGAGGGGGAGGAGGGAGGAGAGGAGGAAGGAGGAGGAGGGAGAGGGGAGGAGGGGAGGAGGAGGAGGAGGAGGGAGGGGGTGTGTCTTGGAGACTTGTTTGAGCGTGTTGGGGGCTG